TTCAGTTAAAATGAGTTGTCTTTATATTATTATAGTGTTGAGAGATATGAGTGGACCAACTCTTCTTTGTTCATTGAATGAATTATTAAAAGTGCTAAAATGTTTTATCTAAATTTTCTATGTAGTTATTGTTAAGTTACCTCTTATTTAATGGATATGGTAAAATAATACCATTATTATAAATTTAAGGTAATGTTGACATATGTAATTCTTTATGTTTAACAATACAAGAAATGAGATGAACTTTATTTACATTTCAAACATGTTCAAATTGTATTCATTCATTTCTTTAGGATGAACCGTAGAATTTAACTTCATCTTTGTCTGGAGTGACTAATACCTACTATTTAAACTTTATTCAAAAGGTATGCAAATTTCTTCAGTCATTGTGACAATTTATTAATTTCTGGTTTGTAATTTTTAATTACGAAAATGTTCAAAAGATAATTTTTGAAAGTAAAGTTATATACCCTTATCGATAATATATAAAGTTAATTATATTAAAATTGTATATAATTAAAAAAATCAAAGTTATTTCTGTAAATACAATGTTGATGAATATTATGTCTTTATTTATTTATCATGAAAAGATATTTTAAGCTTAAACAGAAATTATACTTAAGTAAAGTGAGTAAAAACATAGAAAGAAATGGATATGGCTACTAGTAAAATAGAAAAAATACTATATTATTTTTATACTATAGTTCGTAGTAAAAGAACACAAAACTATATTTAAGATGTGAAATAGAAAATAACCATATCTCAATTGCTTATTTTAAATACCTTGTGGGTTAATTTATTTCTTATAGATTTGCAAGATTTTAGAGGTTCCATTGATGCATGTACATAAAGACTACATAACGGGATCCTTTTTTGAGATTCAGTAAAATATTGAATGCATTACAGTGCTAATTTCTGAATTTTGTGTCAATGTGGCATTTGCTCTTTCGATGTAATTATGAAATCATTAGGTTTTAACTTTATACATTTGTATAATGTCAATGTTAAAGATATTTCTCAATGGCTTTAATTTGATCACTATGCACAGCTACAACTGTGTTGTCACATTAAGCAACTAGTATTTTGTTTTTAAAATCAGAGCTTATATTAAAATTAAAAAAAAAAAAAGTTTTTCTTCAATAAATCTGTGATCCTAATGGATGATTATCTCAGAAAATTCTGAGTGAATTGAATATAAACATGTGATTTCATCCCAAATTTGTTCATAGGCAAATAATAAGGCACCTATGGTTTAGATTTTTTTCCCATTAGTTTTTAAACCATCTACATCTACTGTCAAACCTGCAGTTATTCACAAAACTTTCCTAGACAACAAATAATACCTATGTTTGAGTAATAGTGAAACAGTTAAAGGGTTTGAATGACAATTATTAAAATGTTTACAAAATATGACATTTATTGATTGATACAGAAATATTTCGGACAGAGCAGATGCAGAAACATTAATTCTATTAAAACATTTATAATACTAATGCATGAAAGGAACATTAAAAGAGACCCTTGCTTTTTTCTTAAACACTATACTTGAAATGAAGTCTGTAAATGCTGTAATCAGATTAATCTGATTTACATAAACAGGGTAGAGGCTTCCGGGCTGAAGCCCTCTCAAATGGTAAAATATAACCATGTCTTATGAAAAAAATATTTTAAAATTACCTCTAAAAGTATTATTGTTCGTGTAATCACATTTAATAGGACTTCAAGATTCACTTAAATACCGTCTCAAACTGTTTCTTTCAAAGTAATTATCGTTATCGAATTTCATCTAGACTTCTTAATTTAGGAAGAGAATCCTTATTAAAGTTATACATATAAACTCGTTATACATATATACAAGTTTTTGGGCTGAAGCTCTCCCTCTTAAAATTAAATCCTGGACCCCCTAGTGCCCATGGCTCTATAGCTTTTTTTACATTTCCTGCTTTGGGGTTAGAGGTTCCACATCAAATTAGTAAAACCTCTTCATGCCTATCAAGCCTCTTATCTGCTGATGTGCTATTAATAAATGCATTTGATTGGTACGGATTGAAAACATTAATTATTAATAAGAAAAAAAGAAAGAAATAATGACAGCTTTATTTAAATTTGAAGGCATGGTGCCAAATCATTAGAGAGAGTGAGTCGGAGAACGAGATGATGAATATTTACATGAAATACAGAATATTTATTTATTTATTATTTATTTTTTTTTTTTACATATCTTCTTTTATGCCACAGCCTCTACAAGTAGCCTCCCTGGCTGGAAAGGAGGACCTATTGTGTTTATGAAGGGAAGTAACATTTTAAAGCGATTGAAAAGCAGTTTGAGATTCTTCATCGTTAGGGATAGTTTATGATTCTTTGGACTGGTGTTCCACGATTTCTAGATATCTCACTTGAATAAATGCTTCTTTTAGAGTTAATGAGGAGTTTCCCAATAATCTCTGACGTATACAAGCTTATAATAACCCATCTATGAATGCATCTCTTATACTGATCCGTCTCTCTTGATTTAGGCAATGACAGCTTTAAAATTGCAGTCTTTAGACACACGTTTAAGATGTTCAATGCACCTATCAATTGTCTCTCCGGTGATTGGCAATTGGCGTCAAGTCTTGGGCTTATGTCGGGCGTAGATTTCATTATAAGTTCCACATTCATTCAAATACTCAAAGACAGGAAGAGGAACAAAATTAATTAATGGTCTAAGTCTATCGCACTCACGAATATCAACAGCAGCAACATTCGGCACACCTGCGTACTTGAATGCTGACAGAGATTGATACTTTTTATCTCAAGAACTCACATATCTTCCAGCGAACTTGGTGTTGTTACTAGTTGAACTACAGCATACATCTCCAAGGGAATGAATCATGTAAACCATGAATGGGAGAATGTTTACCATGAAGCATTTCATTTAATCGGTTCACTCCTTTGTACATCAACCTATACAACACTACATGAACGCATGTTTAATTTCCATGGCCGTTCCAGCTTAGTTATAACACCGACATGGTTAATCAAACCCGACTGAAATACGACATGCTGAGATTATTATTCGTATTTCTTCTAATGAGTAGGGAAGATTTTTACTTCTTACCCAGTGGTATAACCTTCTTTCTCTCGGACGGCATAGAATTTCATCTAGACTTCTTAGTTTGGGAAGAGAACTCCTTATTAAAGCGTATAACTATAATAACTAACGTATAACTTCTTGGAAGAGTATCAGCTGCCCTATTCTCACCCCTGTATATAATTTCATATTTATAAATTGAGAGTTCCAGTCTACACCTCATTATTTTTCGTTTTTGATTTTTCCTTGATTATCTAAACACAATCAATTGATCGTTGATACGTTATCAGATGAATGTTTCTGCCAAGAAGGTAATGTATCCACTTCCGCAACGCCTCTATAATGAAATACGCTTACATTTCAATAGATGAATAACGTTTTTTAGCCTAAGTTAGAGATCTCGAAAAAAACAAAACATTCTTATCTTGGGATAACATGGCTCCGATAGCAAAGTCAGAAGCATCAGTTTCTACAGTTATTGTAGCATTGTTATCGATCGATGATACCACTGCGTTTTGGATATTCTGTTTAGTGTTTTCGAAGGTTCTTACAGCCAGCGAGTTTAGAGGTAAGGAACTTTTGACGGGTACTTGTTTTTTTTTCCCTGCAAACTTTGGTATTAATGACGCATAATGTGCGAACGGGCCTAGGGTCCGGCTAGAGATTGATGTATTATCGGGATAGCAAGTCGTGAAAAGGTTGTAACCTCTCAGAATCCGGGCTGATTGATATTATTGATAATTGTGGCTAATGACGAATCCTAAAAGGTTAATCGTGGACAATGAGAACTTATTTTGATCAAGTTTAAGGTTAAATTGTACTAGTTAACAACCTTTAAAAACTTTTCTAAATTTTGATCATGTTTATGTCGATCCTTACCACAGATGTCAACGTCGTCCAAATATACCTCAGTTCTTTTCAAGATCTTCAGTAGATACTATGTCTGTTATAGCTCTCTGGAAAGCTGGTACTCCATTCCTAACTCCAAACGAAATACGTGTGAACTGATATAGTCGTCCGCAGTGTCAGGTCTGTTAGAGATTTGGTGGTAAGCACTGCGGAGATCGACCGAGCTGAAAACTTTGTAAGAAGTCACTCTATTCACAATGTCTTGTATCCTTGGTAGCGGAAATGCTCTCAACTCGGTGAATCTATTTATTGTTTGTGAGTAATCGAAAACCAACTTACGTCGATGACTAAGAGAATCTATTACCACGGTGAAATACTCACTTAATGACGACATATTTTAATAATTTCCCTGTTTCATCTTCAATAAATTTATAGTGACCCTTGAATACATTTTGAAAAAGAGTGGTAATTAATGAAACAATAATGGTTTTGACCTTAAACTACTACCACGGGTCAAAAGTGGCCCACTCAAAACAGTAATTTATGTTTTGTGAGATTTTCAAAACATAGTGCAACTATATCTTAGGTGTTCTCTCACACCTATGTAAAGCATCAATAAGCCTTGAGCTGTAATTTGGAGTAAATTATATCAGTGTTTATTAGCGATTTCGGGTGATTTTCGACCCAGGTAGTAGTTATGTATCATAAACCGTGAGTGTATTTGTTTAATCATAACAGAAAAAGCGCGTGGAAGGAAAGCACTATAAAGACTGAGCAGACTTTTTGTAGGATGGTGATCATAGTGATGTCTGTTAGGTGCTATGATGAACATGTTGACATACTGAATAACAAACAACGGTGGTGAGTCTATTTGCTGCAAAACGTCATTTTGTTAATGGTGTGTCTGCCATTGGTAGAGAAAAAGTTGTGTTTTGATTACATTTTACAATTCGAGCTTCTTTGTTCAAATAAACTTAACCTTCTCCCCACTTTGAGGAGGTTATTAGTTTGTTTACTTTTTTAATTGGTAATTACAATAAACGAGATGATTGCGGTACTGTGAATGTGATTAAGAATTATGATTATGGAGAAGATTGGTTCATTAGAAGAGGAAGCTCTAAAAAGGAAAGAAAGATTGAAGGAATTGAAAACTAAACAATGGAGTACTGACAAGAAGAATAAGGATGCTCCTTCTGTTCCAAGGTATTTAATTTAATTTGTTTGTCCTACGATTTTCATTGTTCCGAAATAAATACAGTAAACATAACATATTCATTCTAAAATGTTCTTTAATGCCTAGCCCAAAGAGGTAATAGTAATTTGGATTCTAAATGCAATTAAAAATTGGATATAAGTTTGCAATATAAAGTAACCAGACCAAAAATTATAATTTTAATTCAACCAGTATATTGAGCATATTAATGTAAATTTTATTCATTAGTATATTTCAAATGAAAAAAAAAGAATTTTAGGAAATTTTATTCAATTAAAAACTTTTGTTTTAAGCCATTAAGGCTGCTAATGTGCTTCAATTATTAATATATAAAAATATACTGATCATTTACCTCCATAGGTGTAGAATTAAGTATCCATTATTTTATTTTATTTTTTTAACATGACTTCAACAGTATGGTTTATTTATTAAAACTGTGTCATCTCCTGTTTGAATCTTCAGTTCGAAATTTGTTGAGCTAAATGGAGTATTATGTGTCAAATCTGTATATTGTATTTCTAACAGTTAAATATATTTTTATCTATTTCATTTTACTTGTTTGTTTCAGACCTGTTTTTAGGAATTACACACCAAATGATGAGAAATTGAAAGAAACAGTTTTAGAACCAGCTAAACCAGGGAATGTTGAAGAGGAAATTAAAGATCAATTGGAGGCTGCGAACACACGAGTGATAATTGAAGATTTGGTAATTAATATGCATACGTTTATTTCTTATTAGATTGGTGTGGTATAGATATATATAGATCAACGAACTTCTTTATTTATAAAAAAAAAAAAAATCAAAATATATTTATTCAAAATATAATTTCTGTGTGATTGCTAGACCAGAAACTAACTGCTTATCATAAATCACATTAGGCTGCATTGCATACTAAATGGCCTATATCTAGGTTTCATGAGCTTGATAAAAATCAAGTCAGATGTTTCTCCATCCAGTTCTTACTCACTTCCTCGACGCTACAGACCACTAATGAGCCATGACCCTCAAAATCAACCTCTGCCAGTTGTCTCTTTTGTATGCCGCCCTCTTCCAGTTCCTTATACCCAACATTGCTACTGCATGGTGAGCCATTCCATCTTCCAATCATGGTTTTGATCTTCCAGCCCTCTTTGTCCTATTTAGTTTTCCTTATAGAATTTTTTTTGGAAACTCTTGGTCCTAAATTCTTGCCACCTTCCAGCTCCTCACATCCAGCATTGCCACTGCATTTTGAGGTACTCCATCTTCCAATCCTAGTTTCAGTCTTCTAGGCCTCCTTGTACCATGCATCTTTTCTGATAAATTTTTTTTTATTGTGGATCTTTGTCAAACTCTCTTGACACATGGCGCTCTCATGTGAGCCGTCGTGTATATAATTTGTATATTTTGCAATATCAGTTGTATAATCAATATATTGGCTTGTTTGTTTTCCTCCTGGTCTCCTGAAGATAGATTCCCCCAAGTATGCACCACAAAATCTTTCTTTCAAATATTAATAGACTTTGTTCATCATTGCTGAATGTCAATACTATAGCCATATAGAGCTCATTAATTCTTCTTAAATCCTCCTTGCCATATTGATCAAAGAAACAATTATGATTAATCTGAATTGGTGTTTATTGACCAATTCTCTATAATCCAGATAATATGTTGTTTGAGAAATTTTAATCAGGCTTTTTCATGCCTTGGTAGTAGTTTGATGTTCGTTGCTTCTTAAATCAAATTCTGAATGTCTTCACCTTACCGCAACCAGATGAATATTCACTCCTCTTAACTCTGCAGTAATAAAATATCAATTACATAAAATATTTGACACTAAAAACAGGTCTGAATGGTTGAACTGAGCCAGTTCTTCTGGAATATTCTCTTGTTTTTTGGTAACAATCAGAGATTCATAGAACTACAATAATATTGCACAGTTGCTCAACTGTATTGAATTTCTAAACCTCATTGTTTTCTCAACTGTTATTGAGTTGTATTTAATTACAATATCAATTTATTATTTAATTTTCCATTTATTCATCGAAATTAAAAAATAAGTACCTTCAGTTTGTTAATTGATTTATGTATAGTTTGTTATTGAAACTAGTGAAAGAAAACTCTTGTGCTAATACAACACTATTTATCAAATCTTGAAAAATGTATCCTGACTCGATCGAGTAATATTTAACACTTTATAAAATAATTTTATTCAATGTCAGTTTTTGCAAAAACAGGAGGAGGCAATATGTTTTTTGTTTTAATTCCTATTTATCATCTATAATATTTTTTTAGGATATTACAAGTTTGGCACCAAGGAAACCTGATTGGGATTTGAAGAGAGATGCTGCCAAAAAACTCGAACGTCTTGAAAAGCGAACACAAAGAGCAATAGCAGAACTTATCCGAGAAAGACTGAAGTCAGAACAACATGATTTTGCATCTAAAGTGGCTATTGGTGCTGAGACTGCTGCGTCATTGGATGATGATGATTAATTAATTATGTGTTATGCTAATGACTTTTCAATTAGTGATAACATTGTTGATCATTTTTATAACGTATGGGTACTAGAGCATAATATCTTGATGCTGTTTGCACACAAAGAAAGTGTGGCCTTTAGATGTTTGTAAATTAATTATGAAATTTCTCAATTATTTAAATATAAGTAAGTAAAAAAATTATTGGAATGTCTTAAATTTTTAAAAATAAATTTACAAAAAGCTTAAGTACTTAACTTCTTAATGTAAATAAAAAACATTTTTATCGTAATACTACAATAAACTTTTATATTTTACTTGTGACCTTTTTTTTTTTTTTTTTTTATTCAACATTTAATTAGACAATAATCATGTGTCTTTTACTATGTAAATTGTGATGTTATTATGTATGGAATACCATTTCATAGATCAAAGGAGCTACTTGTTTATGAAAATGTGAGCTTCGGGATGAAATTAACTGATAATAATAATAAAAAAACAATAAATTGATAACGAACATGCAGAAGTTATTAAATATTTCCCTAATTTGTATTAGGAGAATGTGATATTAAAAGAGCTACCATTTCTGAAGGATAAAATGAGCTCCTCAGGGATTTTAGTATCGTATCTCAATACAAAAATTCAAGTTTTTTGTTTTATTTCATTCAGATATTAAAAAAAATGCAAACCTTGGTGAAAATTTAAAGCAAATTTTTATTAAATTTAAAGCAATAAAAGTTTTATTTATCGATTGCTATAGAAATTCGTATTTGACAGTTCTTAGAGATGCTGAATACAAATTTCAACTCTGTTTCTCCTTAAAAAATTATTTGAATCCACTTTGCTCTTTCAGTAGGTATAATTTGTTACAACTTTATGAATTGACATAGATAAGTGCTTTTTTGTTTTGTAGATAATTTAGTAATATTTTGAATAATCATTGGAGCATATCAACAGAAGATTGTAAATTTTTTCGTTATTTGTAAGTAAAATTTCTTTTCTTTCATAATGTATTTCACTGAAATTTCGGGAGGATATGGCTATGGTTGCTCATATCTCCATGAAATTCCCTTTCATATGATACCCCATTCGTAAAAATCTGTGGTTATATCTGTGGTGTGCAAAAATTCAAAGCCTTAGTTAAAATTAAGTTAAGAAGCAAAAAAGTTTTATTTTTCGATTGCTATGAAAATTTGTATATGAGGGTTATTCAGAGTGTTACAAGAAACACAAGGATATGCAATTTAGAGAGATGTGGAGGGGGGGAGGAAGGGGGAGGGTGCATGTTAGGGGGTCTGGCCTACCCTGTAACTTTTGAATTGTACTGACCTCTGTGTTTTAAAGCCCAAAAATGTACCATTTTTGAGATAAATTACAATTCTTGCCAAAATATTCTTAAGTGATATGGTTGTCATAAGATACTTATCAAATGTATAGGTTCTAAAAATTAAAATATTCCTACTTAATTTATGATAGTCTTCTATGAATTAAAAATCTATTGAAAAGGTAAATGGTAAACTGAGAATAGCTCTATGATCCCTTGGACATTTTTATAAAATAGAAAAGAACTTTTTAACATTTAAAAAAAATAAAAATATCTTGATAATATCATAAGGTTTAACCATTGATGGCATATGGAACAAACTGGATTGGATGTTCTCAACTGCAGCTGGGGAAACTGTTAGAAAAATAGAATCAAGAAAAAGAAATGGTTGGTTAGACAATGAATGCAAGCAAGCTATTGAAAAGAGGAACAATGTGCGCCTTAAGTGCCTGCAGCATCAAACAAGGCAACAGGAAAACTAATTTCGTGAAGCAAGAGGACAGGCTGAAGAAAATAATCAAGAAGAAGAAAAAACATGTTCTGCAGAAATAGTTAAAGATCATCAAAGACATGGCTAATAAAAACAAAAGTAGATGATTCTACAGAAAAATAGAAGTATCAAGAAAGGATATATACCCTACCAATAATTGGATAAAAAACAAGGAAGGTTCTGACTAACAATAAAGTGATCATTGAGAGATGGGAAGAACACTTCCAGGTACTATTAAATAGTGATTCCAGAGAAATCGGCCAAACTGTTGTGATCAATGATAGAGAATTCATGCCTTCAGAATATTGATGGGAAGAATCAATTCCACCAACATTTGAAGAGCAAGAGGAAATGGTCTGCGATCTGAAGAGAAATAACACACCAGGTGCAGCCAATATTAATGCTGAACTCTTTAAAGCTGTGGGCCACAATATGAGAGAGCTGCACCACCTCATAGAGTGCTTTCTGGGAGGAAGAAAGCATGCCAGAAAACTAGAACTGTGGAGTAATTACGGTGGCATACAAGAAAGGAGACATGGCAGAATGTCGCAACTATAGAGGTATCACTCTGCTGAATGTTGCATATAAGATATTTGCTGCACTACTCTACAAGCTCTCATACTACAAAAAGGTGGTTGGTGACTACCAGCGCGGTTTTCAGAAAAACAGGTCAACCATAGATCAAATCATTTTTTTACGGCAAATCAATGAAAAGACTTGGGAATATATGGTCACATGGTGGTTATTTATAGATTTTAGGGCTGCTTATGATAGTACCTACAGATCCACAGTATATATGGCAATGGGAAAGGCAAATATCCCTCCTAAACTGATCAATCTTTCATAGACGAGAATGAGGAAATCCAATTGTCAAATAAGAGATAAGAGAGTAAATGGGGAGATGTCTAAAACCATTGGAATAAAAATGGACTGAGACAGGGAGATAGATGCCCTAGTGCCTATGTTGTTTAATCTTGTGCTTGGTAATGTAGTAAAGAACATATACGCTATGGAAAATGGCATTATCATAAATAAATCTCTACAAATAATGGCATACACAGATGATGTAGTGATTTTAGGAACAAGCAAGTAAGGAATTGAGGAGGCATATGTTGCCTTAAGACAGGAGGCAAGAAATGCTGGTCTCGATATAAATGCTAGAAAAACGAAACTAATGGTCATAGAAAAAATCAGACAGTATCCACCAAGCAATGAAATTGCCGGAGAAAACATAGAATTAGTGTCGGCTTTCCCGTACCTAGGATCTTTAATGACAAATGAAGCAAATGAATTAGAGGAAGTTAAAAGAAAGATCCTAGCAGAAAGTAGAGCTTATTTTGCACTTAGGCACATTGTTAAAAGTAACATTATATCTCATAAAGTTAAAATTTGTTTGTATAAAACCCTGATCAGACCTGTAGTTACGTATGGAGGAAAAATATGGGACATTAAATAATAACATATGTGACAGGTTCGAAAGGAGGATGCTGCGAAGAATATTTGGTGGTGTTTATGAGAATGGGGCATGGCGAAGTAGAAAAAATAAAGAGATTTATGATCTTTATAATGATCTTCGATTGTCAAATGTGATAAGAATGATTAGGCTGAAATGGTGTGGTCATGTCAACTGAATAAATGAAGATAGACAGGTGAATAATGTCTACACAGGGAGAATCTTCACCACTAGACCAAAGAGATGACCAAGGGCACGATAGAAGGAGAAGGTGGAAGAGGACATGCGACAGGTAGGTATCCGGATGGTGGAGGATAGAACTCTGTGACAACAGATGTCAGATCAAGGATCACTTTGGTCTGTAGTGATAGAAGAAGAAGAAGATTATATTGTATTTACAATTAAACATCTTTCACTGATGTCACTTATATGTGGAATGCATTAGGGAGAAATATAGCAATCAATTATGAATACTCAGTGGAGTATACCAATAATATTTTTGATACAAATGCTAATTATCCAATATGAAAACATTAAAAATTTTCAATTCTGTACTCTAGCGGTTTTAATTGTAATTAAATATCTTTAAAGAGTTGTTACAAAATCTCCAAACATTCATAAAAGCACATATTAGTGTGAAAATTAAAACATTCTCATTGTTTGGACTGAATTGATAATGATATTAGAGTGGTAATTTTCAGATTGGATAGTTAGCATTTGTGCTACAAACAACTAAAACTTTATGTGGGTGTAGTCGTCATACTGATATAATGACGATATCAATCTGATTTTTAAGGAGCGCCTGTTCATCATGCAGGAAAAAAAAAAAGACATTGCTATTTTAAATGTATTTATTATGCCTAATAAATATAAAATAAAGACAATAATTCATAGCCTTTAATATAACAGTTTCAACAAAAGTTGGATCATTTGGGTAAGATATTGCTTTTTAAATTTTTTTTTTTCTTATTGATGCCAATTTTACAGTTAAAATGGTGATTTTATTACAAAAATAAATTATGAAATTCACAAGTTACAATAAATACATACTACATGGGATAATAAATATTTAACTTTATCATACAAATGAATACAATGCTTAACTAATTTATAAATGACATAGTTCTCTTTTAATGAGTAAAAATTATATGAATTTTTTTCCTCTTCTTTTTTTTTTTTTTTGTTTTTGTTTTTACATTCATATATACTTTTTTACTGTCATAGTGTAGGGAGCATTCTGTCATCTCCCAAAATATATTTTCACTTTGTATTTAATAACTCAATATTTACAATTCTACGTTGACTTATCCTTTGGAGGTAGAATAATTATTTTGGACTATAATTTCAATTTTTTTTTTTTTCATTTTTTCATGTTTATATTTTTTAATGTTTTCTAATACTAAACAAGTGATTATAACAAAACATGAAAGACATTTCGGCATATAATGTGGATATTTGAATCCTTCTTTATTTATGGAAAAAAAATAAAGCATGTTCAGAGATAAAAAATTGAAGTTTAAAAGCATCATATAATAGTAACGCACACGTATTTAAGCACTTATCATAAAACCTAGTTATATCAAGCTAAACTACCTTTGCCTTAATTCAACCATATTTGAATACTGAATAATAATAGTAATTATATATGTATATATACATATACATATATACATATACATATATGATTTAGTATTTATATGAAGAGAAGGAAACGTACAATATATTTTTACATACAATAAACACACACATTACAAGATATAAATAACCAAGAGGGGGAAATTTATGCTAAGGAATAAAATTTCTGACAATACAAATCTAAAGTTATTATAAAAAAGGCTGAATTTTTCTTTCTTTATTTTTTACTAATACTTGAGGATTAAATGAAGCCTGCAATTACAGTAAAACAGAAGGTTACTTAGTTTACAAACATAAAAATATTGTGCGTTTATTATTTTACAGTCTATTAGTTATTATTGCACTGCACCCAATAACTAACAAGGCTCCAGCTCTGTGAACTAATCAATTCGTTCTTTTAAATTAACAAAACATTGAAAATTAAAATTACATTTGTAAATTTTTTTTTTAAATGTGGAAACTTATAATGTGATTATCATTGCTCTTAAATCTATGAGATAATTATATATTAAGGCTACATTTTTTATTTTATTGAAAATTAAAAGGATATAATGATAATATAATAATATAATATTAACAATTAAAAAATAATGAGCATAGTCACTTTCTGATTCATCACATTCAAGCCCTCATTCTTCTTCAGTTAAGCTCAGTCGTGGAAAATTTATGAGATGTTTTTGTTAATTCTCATTACGGTAACTTTAGCTTAAATGAAAAAGAATCTTCATCAGAAAAAGCCAAAGTCCATAAAATTGTCAACGTCGGTAAGCATCTCTTTCTGTCATACCTCACCATCTCAGACAACAAACAACTTAGGCTCATCTGATCCATAACAAAACAGCGATAACATTCAACCTCACCACTTCTATATCCATTAACATTGTACCATAATATGTCACCGATATACAAAGACAGTATTGCTATATAAGCTGTATTATGTAATTTTGTACTTGTATTATGTAAAATGAGGGCATTTTAAAAATTACAAGTACAAAATTAAGCCCTCTATTTAGTTTTTCGAAGGTAGGGTTTTTCTGACTGGCAGTAGCTTTATAGACGAGATTCTACTAAATAATGAGCAGAAAAACTTTTTTCGTAATCGGGATGAGATCTTATGAATAGCTTGACCTTATGGTCACATCTACATTTTGGCCTGGCATGGCCTTACATTATCATTGTTAAGGTCACCTTAAAAATATCTTGGTAATATTAAAAATACCTCATATTTCGTAAGAAACTATATATTTATATATGTACATATGCATATACATATATAATATATATATATATACTTATTTATATTCAGATATATACATATAAATAACATTCTGCCAAAGTTAAAGTTAACTTTTTAAAACACTTATTGCTGTAACATTAATTCAAAAATATTTTTAAAAATCTTAATTGGGTATAAAAAATCTCTTGTTTCATACTCTGTTATTTATTACCATATATTTTGTATAAATATTTGACAAATAAACTAATCAACATTGTAACAAAAATTATATACAAACTATGCAAAATATATTTTCTTTATAGTTGGTGTATTAAAACTAGATTTTTAATTTTTTTTTTTCATTTACAAATTTTCTTTTTATATTATTTTCTATACGATAAAGTGAAAAATAAACGATTGACTTGTTTTACAGTAATATCAAACTTAATTTTAATTTTTATTTTATTGACGTGCCCTTTATCATTTGGCAGAATTAGGCCAAAAATAGGGAGTTGTTTTATATTTGAGATCATAACTGACAATCAACCCTGCCCATTATACAATATAAATATCAAAGGAAGCTAAATAAATATGTAATTCATAACTGATTTCAAATATAGTAACTTACTGCCTCAAACAGATATTTGACAGCAGTTTATGCAAATTACATGGGCTTGCCCACTCACCTAACTGGTCATCCATCTTTCCTAAGAGAGCAGTTGCCTGCGAAATGTCTTTTTCTTTAGAAATGAGCTACCTTAAGGGGTAAATGAATATTTACATTTCATGATCTGTGGAAGAAAAATGACTCCGGGTTTGTTATAACTAAAACTAGCACTTAATAATAGAACTGAATTGAAATTGGTAACTGAATAAATAATTTAATATCGAATAATTAGGGTTTGTTCAAAGTCAGTTCTATATGGAACAGACAAAACATAAATATCATTCCCAAGATGTATGGAAGATATTTGGAAGTGGAAAATTCCTTTAAAAGTTTTGTAACCGGAGAGATATAAATAATGAGACATTAGGAAGGATGAATTTTCAAAAATGTTAATCAATTAAAAAAATAAAATAAAATAAATATACAAACAAAAACTGCCCATTAATGGTAACTCGAGAATGAAATAAAACGGCAGTGGTTAGCTTCTATCGCCAAATAATCTTTGCAGCAATCACATCTTTTACACTGCTCCTTATCTCATACAAAATACACTATACACCTTCACAACATGATACAAAGGAAATAATCTTCATACACAATCAAAATACAAACAATAAAATTCAATCAACTGAGACGATGCTTTAGTCACCAAATCTGGTGCATGCCTTCTTCCATTTGCATTGTGTACACCACAAATCTCTGTGTTCCATACCATACACTTTTCGGCATTTTTTGGTATCCCCGCGCAATCTCCTGCTTGGGCTCGAGGGAACTCTCCCCGAGGAAGGAGCAGAGACAGATAGTTTAATTTGTTTCTGGCTGCAACTCTGAAATGAAAAGAAAATATGGCTTTGTAAAAAACTTGGTAAACAATAGTATCATCGGTTAGGTTTATAATCAACATTAAAATTTAATTACAAACATGTGTAAAAATGACAAAAATGTTCTTACTAAAAAATGACAGAAAATTAACACTCAGCATAATTCATCATAAATTTGAATAAAAGACTACAATATTTTAAAATATTTGATTAATGCATTATAAAAAATAATATACCTTCAAAACTAGTGGAATATATTTTTTTTAGTTGTTAATCCATCTATTGATCAATTTTAGTATCAATTATTGCTGCTATGCATGAATTTGTACTCGTAACTAATGAAATAATTCAATTTTGTGTATAGTCATGCATAAAAAAATTAAATGATTACATATTTATATTTTACAACTATACACAATTATGTAAATGCCATGAATATATTTTAGAACTTTATCAGTAGAGTGAATCCAAAAGAAAAACAACTTGTGATTGAATATTAAGATTTATTCTATTATTTCTTTTTTTACTTGCTTTATTTATTGTTTTTTTAATTGTAACTTTTTTTTTCCTATTTTGCCCCAAGACTTCTATTGAAGTCCTATACTGCCCCTATTTTTATATTATCATATAATGAAGGTATGGATGTAAATTATTTTATTTTGTAAAAGCCTATTTTACATTTTTCTATAAATCTGCACAATGACTAAATGATATCTCGATCTAGACCTACCAACCATTTGAGGAAAGCACTATTGTTTTGGATTAGACTATATTTATTCCGGAACTAATAACTTTTATGGTAGTCGATGTTAAGAAGGTTTAAATTATGGAGAATCCACTCTATGTGTTTGGGTATATACAAGTTAAATACATAGAGATATTAGATCATTGAAATATAATTGTATATATACAGACTAACATAAATTAGTTGAAATAAAATATTGAAAAGATGGTTTACCGGTGAAATAGCAGCAGATACAGGCCAGCTGTTACTTGGGATGGATATTGGACCAGCCGTATTTCCACTTCCCATGCTTAATGCTTTCTGGTATTCTGGATCTAAAAAAAAATATTACAAATCCTCATTTTAGTTATAATTGATCATCGTTGTTATATATTTGCATTATTACATGATCAATACATTATGTATTATATATTTTTGACATTAACCTTCATGAGCAGGGCGTGCCATGTCTCTATGCGACAGCGTAGGTAATGGTGAGGTGAGACCTATCTCGACTTCAGTGTAATAAAATTCTTCCTCGTGATCATCCCCAGCCATTCCTTCGTCTTCTCCTTCATTCCTTCTTCTGAAAAATATAGTTATAACATTGTAAGTTATATGAAATTAGGTTTCTACAATTTATAAGAATTCAAATTTTTAATAACAAAAAAAAAAGCAAATGAAAAATAAAGTTAGTATAGTTTTGACTTTTTTATTTTCTACTCAAGTGCTTTAATGTGTAGATCTTTTTCACTGTTTTTTTTATTACATTTGAAATCATTTAGGGTAGTAATGAAAATATAGAGAATATTAAGAAAAAAGGAATATTTAAAACAATTGCAAGTATACACAATGTTCTTCATGTGCTTCTGAGATTATTATTTTATCGATAACTGATAATTATATTAAAGTCAGCTTCATTAATGAAGAGACTGTTTCTATCAAGACAAGTAAGTGAGAGAATTTTAATAGAACATAGTATCATGTATAGATACAAATAGAAATGAATTTATGTATTAATATTCTAACCATTAAAAAAATTAAAAAATAATATAAATAAAATAATGTTGAAGTTTTAAATATTTTTGAAATTGATATATTAAATAAATGCTTTCTAAGTTATGATACATTTTAAAGTTTTATTTAAATCAAACTTACCCAAGGTGAGAATTTCTGACATGAGCCTCGATGGCGTCGCAGGTTGTAGTCCTGACGTGACAGCCAGGCCAAGTGCACTGGAATACAAGCCGAGTTGCCTGAAAAAGCGAACCAAAATAATATTATATATTAGAATAATATATAGTTATATAAGAAACATAGACACAGTTATATAAAATATGATAAACACACACTAATATATGTATATATTAGTGACAATATTCAACCCAAAATTATGCCACTCAGGAACTCAAACCAATGCTAGATTCACGATAATGAATGTGATTCTCCAAAATTTTCATTACAAAAATTGCTTTACATTACTTCATTATTTAACTTAAGATATACAAGTATAAAATATTTTTGTAGCAAGGATTAAGAAGCTGCTCATATCACTTTTTAACCATTCTTTATTAGCTTCACGTTTTAGTCTTTTTCTTTTCATTTTTGATAGCTGGTAACTTATTATCTGATAATTTTCTCATTATTTATTAAATAATAGTGTAATGATGTTAGAACGTTAACAATAATATGGATAAAAATATTTAAGTTGCCTATTTTTGTGGCTTCACCATTATCGTGGTTTTCCCCTTTATCGTAATTTTTGTCATTATAAAAATAAGAATAAATTTAGTAGTTTAAACGATTTTTAAATTTTTAATTTTTTGACTTTTTCAACATTTTCGCTATTTTAGCGGTCTTCACTATTTTCGTGGTTTCGCCGTTCTCTCTATTTTAAAAAAATAGGAATAAAATCAGTGTTTCATAAATTACGCCTTTTCTCCGATTATAGCAGTTTCGGGCATTTTCGCGATTTTTACCATTTCGCCTTTCGACCATTTTCGCGAATTTCCGATTTTTTCAAATGATCTGTTTTTTCTCACAATCATTAGTATTGTTTGGCACTATATACAGTCTTAAAAGGAAATGGAAAGTGATGCAAACGTATAAATTTTAATTAGTTTAAAAGTTAAACCTCATTTTCACTTCGACTTCCATAAATATGAAAATACCTATTTACTCAAGTTGATAAGTGAATGTTGTGTGATGCAAGCACCGCACCTGATTTTTATTATTATAACATTGGTAATGAATCACCTTTTAAATATAACACTCACTGATTGTCAATTTTTTTGTCATGTGTAGGTTAATAAATCATATAAACAATTGTTATTTCTTTTTTATATAATATTTTAAAAAGAAAATAACTAATTAAGTAATTGAACATAATAAATAATAAATATAAATAATTTTGATGAAGGGGATGGGGACGAAGTGCCCCTGAAGTCGGCAAGTTGAGCGCTAAGCTCGGAAGGGAGGGACTTGGCCTGACAGTGAACTGCCCTAGTTGGGAGAAGTGGGACATCAGCTGATCAATAACAACATTGCCACGTGGCCCCGGGATCGATCCTGGGCAAGCGTAAACAAACCAACACCCGGCAACGTCGCAGAGGCCTGCGTACAGCCTCCGCTGCAGTTTCGGACTCCTGCATCCAACCAGGGCTCGATGGCTTGTATTATATTATATTATGGTATCAACAAGTGCATCCGAATCATAACTTTAAAAAATAATAAAAAATACTCTATAAATGTTTATAATCATGTGAATATGTGTTCCATGGAACTAATTTGCACCACTGCAAAATGAACTCTCTGATTTCGCAAGTCGTTGTAAATAATGGAAGAAAATTCCAATTGATCTTGATCTATTCCTTCTTCAAGATGGGCAAATTAAAATGCAATTATCTAAGTGTCTTTAATAAACTTTCTACAAAATTCCAATACATAATGAATTTCTTGTTGATTAATTATGAATCCGATACTAGGGGTATTCATGCAAACAGTTCTAAGTATTGTAAACATCTTAAGCATGTTAAAGTCGAAGAAACCTATTTGAGAATATTGTGTTAAATATGGCCGATAGTAAACTCGATTTTAACAAGGCCTGTTAAAATCGGTATTAATTTCGTTAATGTAGAAAAGGATATTACAAGATTTTCATTTACTGCTTACTACTTTTAGTGGAATGGAATATAAGAAAAGATGAGGAAATAATCCGTAAAACGTTGGACAAAAGGAATGTATTAATCTGTTTACATAGTTACCGAAAGCCTAATAAAGTTCGAAGTGAATAATGTTTTATCAAATTTCCTTATAAATTTATAATCGTCACCAATACATGTCTTAACAGTGTTCATATAGAAAAAAAGGCCCAAAAAATTAAAATCAAAAAGTGAAGCCCAAGTTATCACAAGTGGAGGTTTAGTTTCAACTTATTATAGCTAATAATAGTTTAGCAGTCGATTAGTCGTTATTATTATTAATAATTATAAGCCAGCCATATTACCATTCAGTGGTTCACTTCAGCTTTGTGTTAACTTTTTAGCACTATATCCCATGTTATTTGAAAATCCCTAATCTGTGTTTTTTAATATTATTAATATATTTTACACCACCAAAACGAATTCGAATACATGTATGATAATAAATTTCTATGTAGCCCAAACGTTCTTCGAATCCGTTCGTTGAAAATCTCGATCAATCAAAGTAAAAAAGATAAATAATCTTAAATTTCCATGAATTTTTCTATTGTAAAATCATAATATTCTCCACTTATTGTAAATAGGCTTTGTGTCATTTAAGTGCACCTACTATGGAAATTAAATATTTTATATTAAATGTATAAAGTTTCTTGGATATTAAAAGAGTTTTTAAAAATAATATTGATGACTTGAAACATTATATATGTTAGGTAAAGGTATGGGTCCGGGTATATCTTATGTAATATTGCTGTATTACATTGAATTATTATATATTATGTAATATTATTGTATTGTATCTGGGTGCTAACGAAATTCCTATTGAAGGGGCTCCCGCCAAGCAGATATGCAATGCTGGTTAGTATGTTCGTTGGTTGCAGGCGTTTAAATTATCACAACTAGAAGCCAACGGAGCTAAATATGGCAATTTTATTTATTTCTTGTAAATAGAGTTTGAATATGCTCCCTGAACACTGTCATAAATGTCCTTAATTGTGACAGGTTGTAATATTTCTGAATAAATAAATAATAAAAAGAAATATTTCTATTGAAGAATCGGTTGTCAAAATTAATCTCAATTTCGTTGTCAAAATCAAAGTAATGTCAAAATTATAATTCATATTTTTTAATTGTTTATTTTGAAACTAAATGGAATATTAAATTTGAATTGAGACTATTTTCAAAAAATTCTTTTCTTTGAATTTAAAGTTTAAAGTTTAAACTTGTTTTCTCTCTTTTATCTAGGATTTTATTAGTTATGAAAAAAATATTGTTTTTTTTTAATTCAAATTTTACAACATGGAAATATCTAAATTCTGTTCGCTGTAAATTAAAATCTTAGTTTGTAAGATATAATGGAAGGAATCGGATCGCGGAGAGTCAAAACTGTTTAGTTATTAGCTTCGAAATATTTCAAAATTAAAAATCTTAATAGTTCTCATCCATTTCAATTTTTGATCTGAGACTCCAGTTACACCGAACAGACTATAACTAATATCTTGCAGATGTGTGCGCCGTATTGCTTATTTGTACAAATACGTGAACTCACTTGTGTGTATTTATCTTTAAATCCATATGTCTACTTCAAAATCATGTATCTATTACGGTGTCTTTTCTTTATTTTAAAATTAGGGTTAGACAAATTTGTAAATTAATTTATTTTTAATTGTCATTTAATTATTCATAATCGCCAGACAGTTGTCATGTCATTTCGTTGTTCATTATAGTTAGTCTGAGGAGAGTAAATGTCACAGAATAAAATTCACTTTCTTTCTATAACAGATTTATTTTTCTATGTATTATTTATGTGCTTTCGCGTTGCTTACCTATTTTTATGATATGGCTATTTTATTTTTCTTGTTGAAAATGTCATACGTTTTCTAAATATTTTGATTCCAAACTCCTTTTAATTTGTAAAATAACAATATTCTTGTAAACTACGCAGAAAAAATTGATTTACATGAATCCAACGCATTTTTACGACATACCTGCGTGTCTGAGATTGGATTTCAACATCACCTAACCGCTGAGACATAAACATCTCTGACTTTGTTACCGTAATGCCACTACTGACACAGTAGTAACGTTTACAGTAGCTTGCTTTTCCTAGAGAGAGAGCTGGCAAATATCAAACAGTGAGGCTATAGAGGAGCATCGTGGTGGGGGATTGTTTACCATGAGGTCATCGAACTCTCAACCGGCCGGCTAGCGTCCTCCTATCTGTAATCCCATTGGTCATCTGTATCCGCCAATCGGATCCTTCAGTATGTAATGAGATAGCCAATCAATAATCATTATAGCTCAATAATTATTCTGAACGTAAATTACATCGTAAAAAGATACTAATAAAATTTATCGAAAGCAATTCGAATCTTCAAAAACACAATATCCTTTTTTTTATTTTTTCATATTTCCCTCAAGAAAATCCCATTAGTTAAATACTAATAATCATAGATAAAAGAATAACAAAAAAATAATTTCGGGAGAAATTTTATCTCCCGAAAAAAAAAAAATATTTACTATTACTTATCAAATAATTCAGCATGAGCCCAAGATTATTTTTTTAAAAAATTCTACAACACGAATTTTCCTCTCTAAATTCGTTCAATCAAATATGTCAAATGTATGGATAGATATGTTAGTGTGTGAGGTAATAATAAGTCGTAAAATAGATCAAAAATAATTCCTTCAGAACTACACTATCTTAAAAACTAATTAAAATTCATCAACGTCAAAATTCTTTCATGAAGGATGGATAACAAATAAATTCCAGTTATATATATAGACTTCTATATTTATCTTGTTATGATAAAAATATTTTAAAAAATGATTATGGTAATTAGTACGGTACGTAATTTTATTTGTTTGCATTCAATTATGTTAATTTCTGATGTTATGAAACATATTTTTTTTTTATATGCGTACAATGTAATAGAGCGTGATATAGGTAAATTAACATTCGCTTGATTGCACGAATAATGGAGAAAAGAAATTTAAAAAAATAACTGTATATAGGTATGACTGTGTTTTTATGTTTTCTAATCTACTTACCTTTAGGTTATGTTATTTTTTTATTGTACATAGTTTTTGATTATTAGTTTACTTTTGTTAATTTTATTTTTTTTCTGTATATAGGATGTGAATGTGTTCATATATCACAATAATCTATTGTCCACGTGACAGATTGTTATAATTCTAAATAAATAAATTTAAAAAAAAATAACGATCCAAAAACCTTGACGAGTCTTTATTTCGTTACAATTAAATAATACGGAATGACTGGTAACTAGAATCTCCTAAAATATGATTTTTTTCGTTTTTCATCTTTTTATATTTTTCAAAAAAAAAAAATCGTTTAGTTGAATATAACATGCAACAGTTGGCAAGTACAGTTAAATGTCAAGAGAAAAAAAAATCCAAATACGAATATTTATAAATAAATAAAACAATAACAGGAAAATGATTGTGGGATCATTTAACCCTCGGTTTATAATTATATGAATGTGATAACGAAAATAATTCAACACTCTGGAGAAGAGATGAAAACTAATAAAAAAAAGGGAGATATTTCATGGAGGAAAAATAGAATAAACAAGAACGGGATTGAAAAATCCTGACGAATCGTTATTTCCTTACAATCAATCGACGCGTTTCAATGATGTTAGATTGCATAATTATGATTTTAATTCACGTTCATAAACAGGATATACTAATTACATCATAAATTACAACTAACATCTCATTACATAAAAATTATAGAGTTATGGTACAATAGTTTTTTTATTATATAAATAGAATCCTCGATTTTTCATTTCTTATTAATGATGAATAATGATTTACATAAAAATAAAAAAATCCTTGAAAATTAATTAATTATAAACTAAACATGTTGACACCAGATTATTTATTATTGACATTGAGATAACAGAATATGGCGATGTAATTGTAATTAACAATAAAAAGAGCTATTAATTATAAGAATTAATAAAATAGAGATAACAAGAGAGCCTAAATACATAATAATAAAAAATATTAGCAATATGTCACACCCTACAAAGTAAGTATAGCAATGAGAATGAGAAATATTTAGTTAACACAGATTAAATAAAGTATTTACTTTGCCGATGTATTAAATTAGAAGAAACCTTTCTTGGCTCTTGAAAACGAAGTCAACAAAACTTACAACTAATTTGTGAAATGATACAGGGGCAAACACAATATCGATGACTACCTCCACGAATTAACCACCAATACGCGGGCACAAACGGACACAAACGTCAAGGATCTGTTTGCACAACCCAAAGCGAGTCCCACGTCACTTGTATTTGATTACTTTCAGTTTATTTACTCTGGCTGCGTATTTACGTTTTCCGCCCTACACATCTCGTATTTTCAGATATTGTTTACACACCGTTAAGATTGGGGAAATCAAATTATACCATTTAAAAAAAAAA